AAATTTTCATCACTGTTTGTGGCTGTTTCTCCTTCAAAGAGGAGATGCTGGTGACGCGAGAATACACAGTGGTACGTGTATAATATGGAAGTGATTTAGCATCATAGATCTCTACACGATCTGACTTAGTTCTGACCCTTTTGACTACAGTGCCTTAATCTTGAGAAGTAGTTATTTCTGTGATGTATAGGTGGCATAAGCTGAATTTTAGGTGTACTTTCACTACTTTTCACCAGATGTGGAATTCTGATGTTTCTCCCTTCTCCTGTCCTTTCCCCCAATTTTTAATCCAGCAAATTGAAGAATTTTCCGATGTTAACGAAGGAGAGAAAGAAGTGATGAAATTATGGAATCTTCATGTTATGAAGCACGGGTATGTTACTGTAAACTTAGTTTTGATACAAATGGTATAGATTTGATTGATTTTGTTTTGCATTGCAATTCATTAACCACCTGAAATTTATTTCAACTGTTTAGGAAAGGTTCATTGAAGGATGATTTCGTAACATGCTTTCTATTGTTTTAAGCTTTTTTTTTTTTTTTTAAAAAAATCTTGTGTGTCGTAGCTCTATTGCTTTGAAAACAAAAACATTGCAGATCTTGAGACTGTGATGGACATTCTATGCAGTTATATTGATAAACCATGGTGTAGGGTATCTTTTATTTTCGAAGATGTTTAACTTGCATAATGATGGATTTCTAATTTGACAGGTTTATTGCTGACAATCAAATGAATCATGCCTGTATGCTGTTTGTTGAAAATTATGGACAGAAAATAATTAAGAAGAACTTGTGTCGAAACTTTATGCTACATCTGGTCAGCATGCATGACTTTAACCTCATTAGCATAATGTCAATAGACAAAGCTGTTGCCAGGCTTCGAGAGATGCAGCAGAAGTTAGAAAAAGGAGAATCGGCCTCCCCGACGGATGAGGAATCTTCTGAAGAACAAAGTGGGACGACAAATGGATATAGTGAAAATAATATGAGAGAGAGAATTTCGGAAATGGATAGCATCTCAGGTGTCACAAAACAGAGCAAGAAACAGAAGCTCTGAAGTCAAAAGTCAAATGCCATTCAACGGACAAACATTGAAGTGACATTTTAGGGTGCATGAGCTCTATAAAGAATTACACACACAAAATACAGAGATTCCAAACAGGCACTGCTGGATGGAAATAAATGATTTCAGCAAGGATATTGTTATTAACAGGGTTTCTATTCAGTTAATTATGCAAGTACTACATGTATATCAGTTTTGGTGATGTAATGACAATATTCTAAGAGTTTGAGCATGAAGAGCAATATGAAAATCTTTTTGTAATTTTAGTAATTAGTGTCTTAACTTTATGGAATTTACATAATTTAAGTATACGTAAAACAATTTTTATATTAAGATTTTTTGCATCTGTATCTGGCTGTTTTTTCCTACCATGAAGTTGTGGAACATTGGGGAAAGGGGTTTGGGATACAGTTTATGCTTTTCTTATTTAGAAATTCTCCAGTTAGCTTTTTGTGAAAATAACGTCTCACTATTTAAAGTTTAACCTTGATCCTTGTATTTGAAATCATTTATCAATTTGATCATAAATTACGAATTAAATCTTTTTTACTCTAAAATTATGAAATTTCACAAACTTAGCACTTCCTTTGTCTTGTGCCTGTTTGGAAAGATCTTGGCTTTTCATGTTACAGACACAGTGAAGTACCACCTTGGCTTCTTGAGGTTACCAGCAGTTTGGTTTTCGTGGATAATTCTGATGTATTGATCACCCAGTGTACCATTTTAAACTTGAACATTAGCTCCTTTAAATTTTTATTACACATTTACACAGCTACACAAACTGTTTGATGTAAACCCCTTGTACCGGGGTTACGCATCATAGTGTGCCATGCTAAAGCCGAAAGTCTATCGTCAGTATGTAGGCATTACGTCGATTAACTTCCTTTGAAGTTTATGCCTGCTGTTTTGCCTGAGTACAGACTGCAAGTCCAGGCCATAGGTTTAGCTTTGGCTTTTGAGATGCCACTCTTGAGGGAAAAATGCACTGTAAAATTGGACCAGAAAATGTGTTGCACTTCTTATGCAAGTATTCTGTGATGTATTGTATTCAATACAGATACTAAGACGCTGACTAAACTATATTTGAGCAGTTTTGCACTGCTGTTAACACATTTTATGCATACGTTTACAGATTTTTTCCAATGGAAAGTGGTTTCACTACTGGTACAGTATCAGCACCGAAGGGTTTATTCCAGCAAGCACTGTGGTTGAGTGACATCACCTCAATTTTTTATTATCCTTAAGATATTGCATTTTTCATATTCTTTATTTATAAAGGAACAATGCTGCTGTAAATACAGGTATTTTTAATTTTTTATTTCATTCCATCACCATGAGATGCAGTTCCCTATTTGTTTAAGGGGTATATAAGCTTTCTAATGGTGTCTTCAGAAATTTATAAAATGTAAATACTGATTTTGATGGTCCTTAAGATGTGTTTAACTGTGAGACTATTTAACTAATGGTGTGGATGTGATTTGTCATCCAGTATTAAGTTCTTAGTCACTGATTTTGTGTACAAAAATAGGAAAGAGGGAAACTGCAGCTTTCATTACAAAATTCTTGAATTTGCCAGCTCTCTGAGTTTTAGCAAACTCTAATTATGCCTCTGGATAGTACATCAAGCATTTCTCTCTGGCTTTAATTTGCTAAAGCTGTGCACATATGTAAAAAAAAAAAAAATAGATTATTTTAGGGGAGATGTAGTTCTAGAATTATTGCTTATGTCATTTCTTAAGCAGTTATGCTCTTAATGCTTAAAAGAAGGCTAGCATTGTTTGCACAAAAAGTTGGTGATCCCCCCCAAAAAATAGTAATGAAATTACTTCTGTCCAGTAAACTTTGTATGTCATGTCAATTTATAATAAAAGCTGAAAAAATCCCTTTGTTTTCTATTTATAAAGATGCCTTTTCTATATGTACCTTTGAGAGATTTTGAAGATATCATGTAAGCTGGTTAAAAAGCATTTGAATGGTACAGTAGATGTAAAAAAACAAAACAAAACAAACAAGTTCAGTTGTTTAAATGAACCATTGTTTTTACATTAAATGTTTTATTTGAAATCGGCTTTTGTACATAAAGTTCAGTAATATAAAATCTGCCACGATGGTTGTCCAGTCCTTTTGTGTGTGGGTAGAAAGGCCACAAGCAGCGTCTGGTGTAAACTTCCTCTTCTGCTTGTCCGTTTAAATTTACATTAATGTTATTCCTTTGCCAGATTGTTACTAAGGTAGCTAAGAACCTATCTAGTCCTTTTGTTATACTTAGCGTCTACATAAATTACCAAGTCCCTGGCTAGGTTATGAAATATTTACTTCTCCTTTCTTGGGGGTAGAACTGAATACCTGAGATCTAAGTTGTGTGTTTTGCTGTGTAGAACTGTAAGTTAACTGATGCAAAGCTACATGAATGAAGCGTATCACTTGTTGCTGTTGCAGCTGTAAAAATAACAGAGTGACTTGTGGGTGTTTTATGTGCAAATGGTTAATGTTTCAAATAGTTTTTACAGGATGTAACTATGCCTTAATTGGAGCAGAGTTTTAAATCAATATCTATGCATCTCGGACTGTAAAGGAAGAATAGCTGAGGTAATACGGAACTGAGCAAGAGCAATTGCACTGCTCAACAGTGTACTGGGTGTTGAATAGCAGACACTGGAAAAACCTTTTCCCTGTTAAAAATTATTCAGATGCTGAAATAGAGGCTATGACAGCTAGATTCTGTAAACACCAGACTGCAATTGTCTAATGTGCCTTCTTCTCCAAAATTGGCAAAGGCCCTTTTAATTTAACCTTTTAATATGTTCACAGCAGATTTTGGCAGTAATCTTAACATAAAATGTCTGTGAACTGGAAGCTAACATTGGATGTGAGTATCTAATTCAGTGCATTAAATAATATATTTAAAATTGTTAGCTGAATTTAAGTTGTTAACCTTATGTGTACATTGCTGCAAGTGTGTCTTGTCTGTAGTTATTGCTTTGGTCCCTGAAATTTTGAGTAGTAATTGCTACCAAAAAAAACCCCCCGGTCAATTTGATTATACCTTCATTGAGAATCAACAATATTGTCAAAACTGTCCTCACAGCATGGTTCCTACCAAGTTAAGTATTTCTTAATTCACAGAACATTTCGGTGCCATCATCAACCAGTGTTTGAGTGAAGGTGTTCCTGTTGGACCAGATCCTGGTTATAGATCTGATAGTCCAGGGTTGCACAACCAAGAAAAGGAGCTTTGGATGAAGTAGGTAAGTTTCTCCTTCTGAGACTGGCTTACTGTTGCGATAGCTGCAGTACCCAAGTTGCTTGATTTGAGACCGAAGACACGCTCTTTGGGAGAAATACTCAGAATCTTATCATTAAGCAGGATCTTCATATGAATGTTGTACTTATGGGAGCAAGCTGCCCTGGTCAAGCAAGCTTATTTACTGGTTTCATGAGTTAAGTTCCCTTTAAAAGAAACCAAAGAAATGGAGCAGGCAGCAGAAAGTAGAAATAAGTTAATAAAGTGAAGCTGTGGACTTTGTTAGAAGGGGATTAAACAACACTGCTTCTTGATCAGTCAGAAATGGTGGCAAAAAACTACCATGTAGAAGAGTTGCACCATTTATAGCAACTCTAAAGACATGGCAACACAAACGAGCCGTGATGGAGTGTTGAGGAATGTAGTTGACAAATGTAAGAAAGTGGTTGAATCTGCATGAGATGTGAGTTTAAATCTAAACTGCACATGGAAATGAAACTAACTGCAGAAGTGAAGAAGCTGAACAGTAACTCTTTTGGAACTTCTGCAGGAGTAAAGATGAAAGTAATTAAAAAAGAAATGGAGAAGCTCTTAAACATGCGTGCAGCACTGCAGGCTACTGATTTTTGATGGCTGTAACTAAGCTCACCAATATGCAGCTTTATACCCCAATTAACAATTTACTAAAACATACACAGTTGAGGGATAAAACTTTATTTTAAAAAAAATTCAAATATCACTTGACACAAATGTCGTAGTTGAGGTAAGTGCATGCTTCAGAAAACAACTTCAGGATTTCATAAGCAGTTAACACTGTTGCTTGCAAGGCTCCAACAGCTAGAGGTGAAAGACTAAAGGCGGTGTTGAGTCTTCTATCTATCTAAACTGTACTGGAGTAACAGAATTTCAACTATTTTAATCCAAGCTGCCTCAGATTCTGTAGATACCTATTGCTCAGGTCTCTTACCCTGAGATTCTTCACCCCCACCCCACTGAAAAGGTGCAGCTCTAAGAGGCAGCTGAACAGTACCTAATTTGTATTTCAGGCAGCTAGTCTTATGCTCAGTTTAAAAAAAAATAAGAAAATTGGCAAGCTGGCCCTGTTCTAGATACAGCTAAAGACTAAAGTCAGAAAGGTGTATTTAGTCTATTGCCCTCCTCAGCTCTCAGGAGGAGCTAGAGGGGCCTCCCGTACTAGCCGTTCACAGTCATCTTAAGCTGCTTTGAATGCATGCTCTGAACAAACTGACACGGTAGGACCAGCTCTGGAAGTACCTGAATTGAAGATTTATGCTTCACGTTCTAATACGCTGGTAAACGTCCTCCAGAGCCGTAGTCTGACTCTTCACTAGACCTGACTAGCCCCTCCAAAAGCAGAGGGAAAAGGTACCTGACCCTCTCTGGTGCCTCAAAAGTGTAGATATTTGCTAATTTAGCTTCCATACAGTGGAAAAAAAGTTACAACTAGTACCTGACACCTGAAGTATTACTAGCAAAATAAATCTTGCTCCGCTTAGCAGCGGCGATAGTCAGCTGCTAGCTACGGACCCTCTCTAAACAGGACTGATGCTTCTTGACCATTTGTGCTTGCTTAGCTGTAGCAAAGGAACCGTATTTGGGGTTCAGTGCATTACGTTCTTTGGAGGGTAGTTCAGAGGAGCCCTAAAAGTATAGGATAAGCTAGTATCCTCTGCTTCCCTAACAGTGAAATAGCGAAGCTTGAGGAGTTGAGAATACTGCAGGGTGTTCTTTGCTAACACTGCCTAATTTTACCTGCAGGTGTCCAGTCGTCTTCACTTCATATTTTATAGTAAATTCCAACTTAACCTGAATCTATTCTAAATTTTTCCTTGCAAGTGGTATAAATACTAGCTTCTAGTCTGTTTTGAAATTCACGTACCCCTTCTACAGCTGTCTAGGGGAAAAATGCATGTAGAATGACTAATCTTTTTGTACTGATAATTTGAGTATGGGGGCTATTAATCCAATTAATGTTTTTTTATGCTAGCACAGAAGGCTAATGCAGCACATCATTAACACTGAAGGAAGAGGGTAGAATGATTGTCTAGGTTTTATAAAAATACTGCTACTCTAACATGGTAAAACATATATATTTTCAATTGATCTTGATGTAAGAAAGCCTCTTTTACAGCCCTCGGCATTTCTGTAAAATATTCTTTAAATCCAGTAGTATTGCAAATTAATCTTCTGACCAGGAATTGGACTCTATTTGACAAGGACATTATTCAAAATCTCATTTGCTATTAAGGCAATACTGGTAACTTTATATAACTTTTATTGTAAAAGTTGATTAATTCACAGCACATTCTTAGCCTACGCTACTAGATGGGGGATACAGTGCTAATTAGCACTATCACCTGCTCTGTTTCGAGTGGGCTAAGTCTGTGCCAGCAGGGTCTGTCTTGAGCCCATAACCAACATCCTTCTCCATTAACTCCTGACCTTGATCCCTAGCCGCAGTCCCAGCTGGCTCTGGACACGCGCTACTGCTTGCAACCCAGCTGTCCCCAGCGCTTGTCGCGTCAACCTGCGCTACTGCACTTCAATGCAAGGTGTTTGCCACTATCTATCCTGCATGTGCTGTTCGGGATTTCCAGGAATCCTCCGTTTCACTTGTTTCTGTTGATGGACAGTAGAAAGCAAAGAAGCAATTTCTGAGTCTTACAAGGGCTCAGTGAGGAATCATGGCTGCCACCTGCATGTCATGCCTAAATCGTAAAGCACCCAGGCCTGCTCCAAAATAGCCTACAAAGCAAAGTAGAGCTGCGGAAGGCATTTCAGAGCAGTTATGGATAGCCATCCTACCCTAGGCATTGGTCTAGTTTCTCAGACAAGTGTCAGCATTGACAGAAGACGTAAGCATTGCCATGCAACTACTCAAGAAAATATATTCCAAGTGACAACACAGAAAACAGTTCAAGAAATATCTGAAAATAAGGCACTTACTTACTTATATAATAGTGAGACGCTTAACAGACTGGCTACATATTTAAACAGACACTTTGGCTCAGACATCCTTGTTCTGGGGGAATGAACAGTACCGTGTGTGGAAGAACTTGCTGGTGCATGCAGAACCCACTGTCTGTTCAGATTAAGGCAGTGTCATGTACAAGGCAGCATAGCAGAACATCACCACACTAAATACTTTGCTCTTTTTATGAGTGGTATAAATAAAACTTTGGTCCATTAACTCCAACCCCCAAAAAGTTACAGGCTTATTTCACAGAACAGCAGCATTAAGCAAAGTTAATTCCACACAAGCGTACCCTGAGACTAGAGTACAATGAAATACTGACAAAAATCAAGTCCGGAAAAAAAAAAGTAAAAAGTCTTTATGGCCTGTTTAAATTAATTTGCCTAAGCAAATGCCTGCTTAACTTTTTCCAGCGTAACAGATCAAATGTTTCACAATTTTTTTTTGAAATGAATCCAGTAGAAAATACAACATAGTGGAGTTCAAGTAATACAAAGACAGGTTTTCTGTTAACAGATTGTTGATATCAAACAGCTGGAAACCCAGATTTTAATATTACATTTTAAACCAAGAACAAGAATCCCTTTGCTTGCTTTGCTTGAGCTGCTAGAACACCAAAACCTTCCAGCCTGGGTATGAGAACGAGCATCCAAAATACAAAGAACCACAGCACTGATCAAGTACCCAGTCAAAGACCACTTCCCTGTTGTTAGAGCTAATGGTTACTCTAAGCTTGAAGTTTCCTCCCTCGTTGCTGGAAGGCCCTAACTGCACAGCCTCCATGTCAAATGTCACAGTCGATCCAGAAGTGACAGCAGGCAGTTGGTTTGTCATCTCTTTCCCATTTACAAATACTGCCCCTGAAACAGCCAAGATATCAAACGTTATTTCTCACTTTCGGCATATACTGAGAGGTGCAGCGCTACGTCTCCCTGTTGCTGCAAGTCACGATACTGCGAGCAGGAAAAGGAGACTCATGATCCTGCCAAACATTTTAACCGCACAAGTAGACTGTACAGAAAACGTGGTTGAAGTTGCATGTACGTTATCCAGGATGAGGGCTAAGGTTTTTGGAAACAAGGGGATTATGCTCTTCAATTACGTCATTCAAACTCACCATTTGTGCTAATGCACACAGCTTTATCCCGCTGCAGAGAATCGTAGCCGTTCTGCTGCTCCACGCACACTCCTAGGCTGTCTCGCCTGTCTGGCTGACCCACGGTTTCAATTCTACTAAGCAAAAAGTTAAAGTCAAACCCTGAAGCTTTAAATCAAGATACATAATGAAATCCACACAGTAACACCCTGTCATACCAGACCTCTGTATTGCTGCTCCAGGGTTTTCAACTGTCATCCAGCCTTTGGGGGAGATCTCTGTTGAGTGACCAAAGGTCCTACGAGCCCTTCCAACAGTTCTGCTGAGCAATGCTGTTAATCTGTACAAAAGGTGAATCTGCCACCTTCAAATTTTCACTGCCATTTAATAAAATTCTCCACTATTACAGCTTATAAGTCTTGAAACAATTTCCCATTTTCTGAAACATGTCTTAGGAATCAATCAACATGCACAAAACTACAATCTGTAGTCATCCCTAACAGATTATTGCTCAACACCACATTTTATGGCAAGACGACTGTAGTTTCAGCAAGTATTTAATAAGTATTCATGTGATCAAGTGCAGCTTGTTATTAAAGCAATTTTTTGGATTTCTCTAATTCTGCTATATAAAGATGAGTTGGGGGAAGGTGGAGGGTGTTGTTTTTTTTTTTTAAATAAATCTGCTTTGTGCAAATGGATATGAAAACCAATGACTAGAAGAGCGTTCACAAGTCTGTCTTCTGCTCAGCTGCATTTAGGACTTTGGTCCCAAGAAAGAATAGACATTGACACATCTCCAAAGAATGAGGAAACAAATCGTGCAAATGCCCTGGGATGCAGTTCCCTGCAGGCCCCAGCAGCTGAGTGAAGCTGCACGGTTTGTGCGCTTCTACATCCAAGCCCTTTCTCTTTTACTGCCATTTCTCAAAGCTGCTAAATCATACTTTCAAGAGAGCCTGAGTGACACAGGAAACTCAGTTTTACTAATAGACCAACTCAGCTGCTCTTTTTCGAAAAGCAAAACTGGTTATTTTCATTATGGCGTAACAGAAAAAAAGCAGCAGTGACCCTTGGTTATTGCCAAACAATAGAAAAACTTAAGCAAAAGCTTTAAGAACTGGAAATTAAATTGAGCAGTAAATTGGCACACAAGAAGTAAATTCTTTCAAGACAAACAGGGAAGATAAATCTGGAACCATGTTTTACTTTTGCACTCCGTTATGTCTTTCAATCCCCTGGGAAACATCATTAAGATAGCAAGAGCCTTGTGTTGTAAAGCAAAGCAAGAAAAAGTTAAAACATCCAACAAGCTTTTAATGTGGAAGTGATCCACAACGCTTTCCCAAAACAACTTTAAATGAGATTTACAATTCACTTTGGTACTATATTCTAGTTTTAAACTCAGTCACTAGTAAAGTCTTATAAACAGCTATTATCTGTAAACTCGAGAGGTAAAGCTTTTGTACATACGGTAACAATTCCATCCACGGTTAAGGGAGCCTTTCGTCAGTTTTGAGTTGGAAATAAATGCTTGTACAGACACAAGAACGACTAAAGAATGCGTAACTGAAAATCCATTGAAGTGTAGGAATGCTATAATGTTGATTTGTACCCATGCTTACTTGCTCATTTATATAGGCCCTGTTTTTGCAAAACATTGTCAAAGAAACCTGGATCATCAGCAGGATGAAGAAACAAGTATCACACAAGCAACGGGACAGAAAATACTCCGAGGTAGGAGCAATAGCACACCCAAAGTGCAAGTGTTTATGCAGGAGTCAGTCCAACAGCCCCAAAATTTACTAGGTTCAACTCTCTCAGTGGTAGCAACATTGAATCCAGGCTGAAGCCACATTCTGCACCATGCACTTCTGTATATACATCGTTCCCAGGCTGTCCACTGTTAGGGTTACCTGCTCTCCCTCTCTACACTGCTTACCTCACTTCGCAGAGAGCAGAATGCGCTGAACACGAATGCACAGGAATTAGGAAAGAGCCAAACTTTCCTTACACCAAAAGGAGGAAGTTCAAAGTAAGTGCCCAAGATAATGGCCAACCTGTAATTATCCTGTGGCTTTCCTCTTCTTTTATGCATGGGGAAGAGGGCCAGGATCTGGCTTAGGTCATCATTCCTTTCCTTACTAGATTTTGGGTTTTTTGCAAATAACAACCAGCCCAAGACAGAGAGCCTGAGGTGAGGGAAGAGTACAGAGCATCACTCTGAAGTCTCCTAAGCTTTGCTTTACTAGACTGGCATTTGCCATCAGGTTAACAACTTTATTTTCCAGCCCCTATGATTCCTGGGGCTTCACATTTTTTAAAAGCCTACAGAACACATGGTAGGAACAACGCTTAACAGAACTCAGTTCAAATCTCTTCTCACTACTTCGAGTGCTGCAGAGCAGAACCTTGTGCCCCCATCGCTGCAGCGTACGGACCCTGAACCAGTTCGCCCACCAGCAGTTTCCATTTGTCTCAGAGCATAGAGAAGCAAATCTATGGGTGATCACATGCACTTCATTTCTGAATGGGTGTCAGTAGAGTTGGGGCAGGCTCCCAACAAAGTCCATGTGATCTCTGCATAGAGTCTGCCGGACAGTCTCAAATCGCTAGCCTGGCCAGACTCACTGTGGCTCCCTGCTGCAAGCAGAAACTTTAGAGACAGCTAGCTGTGGAGCTGGTCAGTGTGCAGAAATATTCCCTCTCTTAAGTGCAGCTCCCTCGAGGCTGCAAAGAAACAGAGGAAGCCTTGACCTAAAGTAATGGCTGTTATTCTCCAACTTGCCCAAATGCCTTGCCTCAGAAGATATCTGAAGCAGTCTACCTTTAAAAAGCAGATACAAAGCATTGCCTTCATCACAGCTTCGCTTTTCACTGAGGAGGCATGCCTGTGTCCTGAATGCACAAGAAGATTACAAAGCTGCTTCACAAACATCTGTAACATGAACCTTGCTTACGTTTGCTCAGCAGGCCACTTATCCCCTTGTGAACATACTTCTGTTTCAAACAGATGGAAAAAGCCAAGGGCCAAATACTACATCTCACTGTTCAGCAAAATCTCGCACATGCTTTGAAACAGAAAGCTACTCTCAGGGCTTGGAAGAGGAATGCAACCTATTTTTGAGGTTGTCTTCAATCTTAAGCTTCATCTCATTACGTCTCTTGCAGACGCGCGCTTGTTAGTGCTCTGCCATGCTGAAACAATCTCCTCTTGGAGAGGAGTCCCCGTTACCAAACTGTAAAGCAAAAGATTTTCATGTGTTACCAATAAAAGAAGATAAAAGACATTGGTCTGAAACAGAACCAAGGGAAACCTCAAAGTTCTGCCTTTAATCGCACAGGCGCTTCTGTGCCAAGAGATATTAAATCTAACAACAGATTTCAAATGGAAGCTTTGAACCCTTTTATCCCATCTCAGACAAAGCAGCTGAATACATCCTTATATTACAACCACCTCAAGTCAAGATAATTCATTATCAGGAAGGCAGAAATGAAACACCACGGAATAAATTATAAAAATACCATAAACAAGCCTCTTAAGTTGCCTTTGAGGGTTGCGCACTGCACAGTAAGAACAGTTTTATTTAACCAGAGAAAGATGGAATAGAGCTTCAAAGTCTTTGAGGTCTATAATTACAACTGACATATCCACAAGCTTACCCAAAGCTGAACAGAACGAGTGGAGAACCTCCCCTGACTTCTGATCAGCCAGCAACAGCTGCTACAAAAACTAAAAGGAAGCTGAATTTTGCACAGATTTGCTCAGCATGGCCTATTTTTTTGCCATTCCTCGGGAGTTCTCTCTAGCCTCTGTTCTAGATAGCTGTAGATCCTACAAAAACATCAGGTGTTGTCCTAAAAAACAAGGAGGCAGAAGTAAAGAGAGAAAAGTTCAGACTTCACAAGGACATGCTACCTTGACTGGGGCTGTGCTGATGTAAAACACATCAAGATTCATTTTTGCATACAATTCATAGGTAACAGACTAGAGAAGGAAGGTTGGTTCGCAGCAGATGCGCCAGACAAGAGCGATCCAGAAAGTACTTGCCTGAATGTTAATGTCTGCCCACAGAAGTAAGTAGGAGCTTTGGAGTAGAGTACACCGCATGACTGAGAATCATTTCGAAGCGCTATGTTTCTTCGACTGCTCAAACTGTAGCCCTCCAAACCAGTTGTCCATTCTTCAAAGAAAAATGAAAAGGATGAACATCAACTAGACTGTGTACTGTCTGCTGAAAAAATAGTCCGCTGCAAGGTCCACATAAGAGGTTTACCTCTTATGAAGCTTAAGTTACATTAAATACAGGGGCTGTTTTCCCCTTCCGCTGATGGGGAGATTTCTTTTTCAAATCATTTACAATTACAGAAAATGTTTCCTAGCTCATAGGGTTCACCAGAAGTTCACTCTTTGCTGCGATCCCTGTGAAGTCATATTTTAGGCAAAAGAAAACCTTTGTGACCCACTGCCCTTAAAAATTTGAAAGTGAAGATAAAAGCGAGGTTTTCTGTCTCCAGCCAAGATAAGAACTAGTTTTATAGATGGATTATAAACTTGTTGTGTGAATGCAGGTTATCAAAAAATATGGGAGTAGGGGTGGGAGACAAGGGGGAAAAAAAAAAAAAATCTTCATTTCTGGCCTGTAAGTAAGCACTGGCTAAATCTGCCTGCTTTTACATCAATCTCTTATTGAGCTCATTTCTCGGAACAAGGCAACAGCCTCCTACCTTAAGGAGGGCAAAATCCTCAAGCTAACACAGGAACCACACAAAAGCTGAAAAAAAGCTCAGATTCTCTCCTGCTCTTCACACACAGTGCTCATATGAGCTGCAGAGCAAAAAAGCCACCCGTACCTCAATAATAAGTCTGAACACAGCCCACATTTGTTTCATAGAATATGAATCATAAAAATGGTGAACAAGAAAGTTTCACACTGACACTTTCCAGGCCCAGATACAGAGCTACCTGCTGGAAACGCTCACTATCACTCACACCACAAAGCTGAAATCCAAATTAAGCAAAGAATAAAGTCTAGTATGGAAGACTAGATAGCACGTCATGCGTTACACACATACGTTGCAGGTGAGGAAACACCCCGCCACACCAAAAACAAGCTCCATATACCATTCAGCTATAGACCTTCAGGCGTCCTGCACAGATGACATGGACTTAAGATGAGGATAAATAGCAGTGAAACAATACCATGGGGAACTAGTGTGGTATGGCCGATCTGAGGAACGCTCCATGGACTCCACTCTTGCCGTCCATCTCCTCGGGCACAGACTCTGAACTGGTAATCAACGTTAGGATCAATATGTAGTACTATGAACTCTGTTTCTGAGCCGACATATACGTCTTCAAAGTGACTGGCGGTGCTCTTACGGTATTGCAGTCTGTAATCTTGCGGTATAAAGTCATCATCCACCTAGAGAAACATTTAGTACATTAATGAAGGACTCTGCTCTTTTTTTCCCCTTCCAACTCTGAAACAGGACACACGAGGATAGTACTGCATGCTGTCAAAGGCATTTCAAAGAATCCCAAAGTATTTAAGAGCAGAAAACACGTGCCAAAAAATAAAATCAGAGTTTGAACCAACTAATACAAAAGGCAGTTTAAGAATGACTTGATCACAGTTTAAAAGTATCTGTATCTAAAAGTACCTGACAAAAGGCTTTTCAATCTAGCAAACAAAGATGTAACACAAGCCAGCAGCCAAAAGTAAAGACAAATTTGGAAAAGAAATTCAGTGCCAATTTTTAACACTAAAGGGAGTTTGCTATTACCCTTCTTAAACTGTTCTAGAGGATGATTTCCCATTCTCTGATATCTCTAAGTCAAAAGACAGAGACAGAGGGTTTTGGTTTTTGTTTTTGTTTTTTTTAAGTCTCTACCATTGTTCAAGCGTGACCAAACTCAGGAAAATCCTTCACAGCACAATCAGAGTAGACAGATACCACTATAGTGCCTATGGTTTTATAATTTGAATCCACATCCCTTTGCAAGGTAAGGTGACCAATGGCTAGCTGTTGCTAGAACAGCAAAAGTTTGTTTCACACTGTCAAGGAACATAGAGCAGTCCAAGAATGACTAAACCACATCAGAACACAGCAGTGATTTATTCAATAACAATATTTCTTGAATATCAAAGAGAAAGATTACTTGAATATCTAATGCCAATATTAGAATATTTTCTCTTTGCATCCACTGCATCTCCCTAAGAACGCAAACACGTTTAGACCTAAGAGCATAACAGAACGGGTTCAGCCTCCTCTGAATGAAAATACTGGCTCTGCTAAAGTGTCTTTAAAGGGTGGGGGGGACAAAAGCATCATGCCAACAACAAAGTTCAATCTCAACGAAAGCATCCAGCTATTGCTGCCACACAAATGAACTACACAGTTCTACAGCACCAATAGCTACATGTGAGTCACGTCTGTCAGAAACTGAGACCAGGATTTCTTGATGCCATTGTACAAACAGCAGTCATGGACCACAGACATATTACTCTTTAGTATTTATTTGTTTAGTGGGTATAGTATCTGAAGGCAGCATTCCTTGCTTGTCCAATAGCTTCTAACTACACAATGGAGTGCACTATTCCTTTAAAAGCAGTGGAAAATTTAGAGAGAAAGTGGCATTTTCTGTTTCTTTCAAGAAAACACAAGTTTGAATGATTCTCACCCAGGATATTCTACCTACCTTACACCATCGGACTAATATACCTCCAGGCTTCTCAATGAATTCCTCTAACTGTACAGGTGGGCGAGATGCTACAGTCCCATGTCTGAATATTTGATTTTTCAATATAGTAAAAAGGCAGTCATCCAACTGGGCAGATAAACAAGGCACATCAACCAAGGAGGGCACTTCTGGTAAGCTGGGAAAGGAAAGTTTGCCACAATGAATGGGGTCAGCTTCAACAAATTCGTCACCTGTACATTTGGATCTATATAGACTTTGTGAGGAAAGAACAGCTGTGGAAATTGGCATGTGCATTTCAAACTTAAAACCATCCAGGGTTCCAGCCCTAAGCAGACTGTCTGTTTCTCAGGAAATACTCTGAAGTGCAGGCTGTTCCACAGGGAGTGGTTTCATCATTCACAGATAAACAGCCTATATTTCTACAGAATATATGCAGGTTGAAAACTACTCCATCTGTGACTGCCAACTCGATGAAAGTCTATGAAATAAACAGGACAGTAACACCTCAAATGAAACTTTTATGACAATGCAGTGGAGGGCTTCTACTTCAAAGGAAAAAAGATCCTCTATAAAGGAACAGCACACGTGCTGCTGCCTCGGACCACTTCAGTGTGTCAATATCTTACCTATCTAGCTGAATATGTAAAGCTTTTTTTGTAAAGCTGCATAGTTTCTCATTCTCTTGTCCCACATCTCCATGGATTGCACTCTCTCCTGGAATCAAATAGTAAAAATATTCCTAATGAGAAAATGTCCAAGACAGGCATTCTTCATTTCAAAGAACAACCAGTTCTGACACGAACAACCAATTAAACATGCAGCATTCTCAGCACTTTTGCTAGACTCTTAGCTAGGAAACAAAATTATAGTTAACAATATAAAGCCTATCTAGCAACTTCTGAAACTCTCAAAGCTTTCTGTAGACACACCCATAACAGATTTAATAATAATTTGCCTCAGGTATCAGACAGTAGCAGAACTGGGGGCACATGCCAGGAATCAGGATTCTTAGTCCTTTCCTCCATCTGCTTTAAAGGAAGGGGAAAAAAACAAAGCACCTTCACTGAACAGAATATCAAAAAGCTGAAACTTAAAAACAAAATAACTTCAACCACTGTTCTGCTTACTACAATCTAGATAATTGTTCTGCTTACTACAATCTAGATAAGCTGTACGTTAAAGTGTGGAGATAAACAGAAATCTTTTTATAAGCTTTCCATATAAAGTAGTGGCCCACCCTTCAGCTGACAGAGATGTATGCTCCATCTCCTATCTGGTGACTTTATGGCAATTCACAGGCTACGCAAGCTCAGTCCATTTCCAAGTGGAGAACTACAAACATTACAAATCTCTAATGAAAAACATACGTCATAACTGGCAGCAAGAGATTTAATAAGCATGGAGGCTTAACTCCTTTCTGACTCAGATGTAACCTCTCTGCTCACTTTAACGACATGACTTGGCAAAGCTTGTACTGCTACAGAGAGAACTGTGACCCATGGGATAGGAAGGGCACAGCTAGCCAGGGTCTCGCGAGATCTGACCGAAACTTGTACAGAATGTAGGCAATCTTTGTCACCACCTTCGGATTCAGTAACTCTATATGTAAAATGGAAGCAAGGTTACTACCAGCTGCCCCAGCGACTGTGGTACTAGCAAGAAACCAACAAATTAATTCTTAAATTCTATCACTTTCAAGCCAGCATGTTCCTTAAGCTCATGCCTGAGTGCAAGCTGGTAGATTTCCTACCCATGGGAGACTGCTCAATGCACTTGAGTTCACAAAACTGAGATCATGTTGAAAGAAAGTTAAAGTTGAGACATGAGAACAATGCAAGGAAACTGCCAACATACTCATGGCTGAGACACGCTGCTCCAAGTAGATTCTCCAGTGTGGGGAAACAGTCAAGAGTGACATTCCTTTCTGGCTAGGTATCTAGCAGCAGTAGGGCACATTCTGCCCTTTACAGTAATCTTCCACATGTCTATTTTTATCTGCCTCATCCTCAAATCTTTTGGAGGAACCTTCTTCCATACAGCAGCATACATACTCCTCATGTTCCCCACTTAACAGGAAAAATAATCCTTTTACTTCAGTTGCTATTCCATAAGCTATAAATAACTTCCTTCCAGTCACAAATGTTAGAACAAACATTCACTCACTCAGTTAGAGCAGTAACTCACTTTTCAAGATTAAATAAACTGAAATTTTAACTAATTTTATCGTGGTAATGAGAACTACTAGCCCACAGCAGATGAAGTTCATCCTTTCAGAGGCCTGACATAAGATTTATTCACCATTGTAATTCTGCTGAACTCAGCTACTAACTTAATAAGACCAGCAGAGATTTTTTGTTATTACAGCATCCAGTTTATATCTTATTTCAAAGCAGCCCGAAATAACCCTCTTTCTAGTGTCCTGGGGTGCAGGACAACTCTGCAGGAAGATACACTTCTGAAAGTGTAGCTACACTAACATAGGTACAACTAACCCTAGGTTTGCAGAGAAATATTAAAATACAAGCTTGTAGGAGATGCTATCGATTGGCTTTTTCCTACATCTACCTACCTGTAATCTCTTCTTAACCTCTGCTATGGCCCAAAATGAGCCAAATATACTGATCATAGCAGGGACATTCCAGTCTTCAAGAGACGACATACTAGAAAGTAGAGCTAAGACCTAATTTCAGGTCCTGCCTTACCTTCACGGAGCAGGTCATCAGCTGTACTGACTCCATGCTCTATTAGTTTCTGGCATTCATCCAATGGTTTGATGCTCTCTTGTTCTATAGTATCTACTTCCTGCAGCAGTGACATCAGTCGCTCATCCAGCAGCTTCTTTAGCGTCCCTTTTAAATCATTAAAATGTTGCTCAAGAACATCTCTGGTCAATGTTGCACTCTCTCTAATCTAAATTGAGATAACAAGAAAGAAGGATTCAGGATAAAAATCAAAGATCATGCACAACTTTTATTTTTCTGAACCACCTCATCTGCATCTGCCAGTGAAAAGCCGAGTGTGAAGTCAGCTTTTAAAAAAAAAAAAAAAAAAAAAGACCACAGGCAGTTAGCAAATAAACGTAGTCATTTTAGTATACGTGCAGCAGGGAAGGAGGCAAAGAAACTAGCCTGGACAAGGGGAAAGGCATGTTACCTAAGCAAATCAAAATAATCTCTAGAGCTAAATCTCTGTCTAGCTAGAGCTAAATACAAATTGGGTTATTTGTACTTCAATCAAAGAATTTTTCTTCTCAGAAAAATCTCAGTGCTCTGTTGGTCTTTCCTCCCCTGCCTTCACCACTTCTGTAATCCTATTCAAAAAATACTTTGCCATCATATACAGGTAATCCTCACTGGAAAGAAGAGGTATCAGTCCTCTATATGATTATCTAGAAGCTCTTTTCCAGAGCACATTGCTGCACTAGATTTTTTTTACAATCCTACTACAGTTGCTTTCTCTTTAATCTTTTCCAAATAGTCACCTGTGAATTCCTTTGAATGTGTCTGTGCTCCAGGGTTACAGGGTAGGGTGAAGAGCAAATCTGTTTTGATGCTGGAAGAATGAGATCACAGAATATTCTGCGAGTGTTCATTAAAAGGTTTGCAAACTTACTGAATCTGATTTTTAGGTAACAAAATGCATTTGAACACCCTGAACTAATGATCCAAAAGTCAGAAGTAAATATCTCCCTGCGAACATTCTAAGTTATGCACACAAGGAAATGCTGCAACATGCACACTGCCTTACACGTAATTTCTAGATCTTTAGAGGTACAGACAACCAACACAGGAAGTTCTCTGGTTAGGTAAAATAAATTTCCTCTTCAAGTAATATTCATGAACCTCTGCAGCTGCCACACGGCTAGGTTTCCCTTCTCTTGTTATTTCAGTGCTTCAGAAAAAAAAGGAAGTGTTTAGCTTTGTATAGGGGTGGGGTGGAGGAAGACAGAGAGAACAGTCACTTCTCCAAGCCTCATTACCTCCATTACATGCAGAAACAAATTCAGCACGTCAACCTCAGAGTTACAACCAGCTATGCAACCGGCACAGCGTAGAGGAAACAGAAGTCCTTAAACATACAGAGCTGCACAAAGGCTTTTGAAAACCACATCCCATTGGTCCAAAAGAAAAGGACGTGACATAAGGGATCTAAAGAAATTTCCTATCACATTCGGCCACCAGTCTCCAAACAATAAAGCCGCTGCTACCTGAACTCCAGGCTAAGACACTGGGCATTTCTGAACATCCAGAATCCTCGAGTGCTTGTTGCACCGCTGCTTCGTTGCAGACAAAAAGGTGAGCGGCGCTCCCAAAGTTGGAAAGAGGGAGAACAGAAACAAACGTTCCCAAGCAAAGAAACTCCCTCAGAGAGGAAAAGGAAAGAAAGGTGAGTTAACTAAGCAGTCACAGCCACTGCAGCGAGGCAAACGGACTTCCTCTCAATACATTCTGAGTTATTAGATAACATTTTGGGATGGCAAAGTTTGGACTAACGGCAGCTACAACTGATACTCAGAGGGTATCTTAGCAGAAAAGCCAGTCTTGCAGCGGCTCTCCAGTCTCCCTATCCACATTTGCATAGCTTATCTTGCATCTTCCTGGCAGAGTGGGTGGGTTATTAGCCCCAACAAAAAACCCTCCTCGGCCTTCAGTGCACAGCCACAGACAAACCAGCTAGCCTGGAACGTTAGCAACACTCGTACACTACACACTGAGTACGCGACCCAGAGCTCTGCATGGGGACAAGAGGCTTCAGGACAGCACTCAAACCAAAGCTTAACTTGCCTACACAGATATTTTTGTTTAAAGGTGAGGGGAAGGAGACAGGCAGGAAACTCCCTTTAAAATTAGACTTAGCATCCCACCTACTTTAGACAATCTAGTTCTTTTAGGATATCTTTGTTCTTGCCTAGAAAACCTTTCCATCAGCTCAGAAAATCAGGTTCAGTTCAAGAACAGATCCCTTTACCTCACACCCCTTTCCTCCTCATACTTTCTCCAGCTGCCCATTTCCAAAACCTTCCATCCTCTCCGGCACCTGCAACACTGAAGTTTTCCTGATACGGCTGCGCTAACTCCAACGACTGGGTGCCCACCACCCACTCTAGGACCTGTCGGGGCTCCCCTCCGTCGCCGTCTTTGCCCAGCAACCCCCATCCAGGCTCTACCCGGTTGCCCAGCGCACCCGATAGAGGGAAACCACCGACGTAAACGCGGCTTAAGCTCCATGTGAGAAAAGCAGGGCTGCGCAGGACTGCTGCCCCGGGAGAAATGCACGGGTGACAGGTCGGCAGCAAAGCACGGGGAGCGGGGCAGGCCCGCAGCCCCCCGGGCCCACGCGGGATGCGGGGGGAGGAGCGGCGCTACCGCAGCCCGTCCGCGGGCTGTCCCCACGCACGGCCCCC